ATGGAAATTACAGGGCTCCCACTTAGTCCCTTTTAAATATATTTATTCCCGAATAGTCTTTTAAGTCACTTTTTTTCCCCCAATTAAAATTCTTAGTTATAATAATTTGGCATCCTCGTACATAACTTGAAATTTATTAAAGCAAGGTGCTGATTAGAGTTTGTATTATTTAAAGTTTTGCTATTAGATATTAAATTAAACAGAAAAACAGTTTTTTCGTATTGTTTGTTTAAACAAAGGCTCCGTTGATTTTTTTTTTGTTTAGGTCATCAACACAAATATATTTTTACAAATACTTAATGCCCATGCTGGCGACTGTTAGTCAACAATCACAGATATATTGTAGAAATATCAATACGTTGCAAACCATGCATCTGAAATATTTATACATAAATATTTCGTTCGCAAATTTTTTTAAAAGTTCCTGAATAAATACTAAATTTACCGTGGTTCGTAAATATAAAAAAAAAAAAAAAACTTACCATATTAAAAAAAGTTTCACGGCATTTCTTCTCTCCGCCTAAGTTGGGGAAATGTGTGGGGTAACATTTTCTTCTTGCTACACATGTTGGCTAAAATCAATTTCTCAATAACTGGTTGTTTACTTCTCTATTGGCTGGTACAGTGGTGGTTGTGATGGTGCATTTGTTTCGGTTTCTTGTTGTACCGGTATTTTACTTCTCTATTGGCTGGTACAGTGGTGGTTGTGATGGTGCATTTGTTTCGGTTTCTTGTTGTACCGGTATTTTACTTCTCTATTGGCTGGTACAGTGGTGGTTGTGATGGTGCATTTGTTTCGGTTTCTTGTTGTACCGGTATTTTACTTCTCTATTGGCTGGTACAGTGGTGGTTGTGATGGTGCGTTTGTTTCGGTTTCTTGTTGTACCGGTATTTTACTTCTCTATTGGCTGGTACAGTGGTGGTTGTGATGGTGCGTTTGTTTCGGTTTCTTGTTGTACCGGTATTTTACTTCTCTATTGGCTGGTACAGTGGTGGTTGTGATGGTGCGTTTGTTTCGGTTTCTTGTTGTACCGGTATTTTACTTCTCTATTGGCTGGTACAGTGGTGGTTGTGATGGTGCGTTTTGTTTCGGTTTCTTGTTGTACCGGTATTTTACTTCTCTATTGGCTGGTACAGTGGTGGTTGTGATGGTGCGTTTGTTTCGGTTTCTTGTTGTACCGGTATTTTACTTCTCTATTGGCTGGTACAGTGGTGGTTGTGATGGTGCGTTTGTTTCGGTTTCTTGTTGTACCGGTATTTTACTTCTCTATTGGCTGGTACAGTGGTGGTTGTGATGGTGCGTTTGTTTCGGTTTCTTGTTGTACCGGTATTTTACTTCTCTATTGGCTGGTACAGTGGTGGTTGTGATGGTGCATTTGTTTCGGTTTCTTGTTGTACCGGTATTTTACTTCTCTATTGGCTGGTACAGTGGTGGTTGTGATGGTGCGTTTGTTTCGGTTTCTTGTTGTACCGGTATTTTACTTCTCTATTGGCTGGTACAGTGGTGGTTGTGATGGTGCGTTTGTTTCGGTTTCTTGTTGTACCGGTATTTTACTTCTCTATTGGCTGGTACAGTGGTGGTTGTGATGGTGCATTTGTTTCGGTTTCTTGTTGTACCGGTATTTTACTTCTCTATTGGCTGGTACAGTGGTGGTTGTGATGGTGCGTTTGTTTCGGTTTCTTGTTGTACCGGTATTTTACTTCTCTATTGGCTGGTACAGTGGTGGTTGTGATGGTGCGTTTGTTTCGGTTTCTTGTTGTACCGGTATTTTACTTCTCTATTGGCTGGTACAGTGGTGGTTGTGATGGTGCGTTTGTTTCGGTTTCTTGTTGTACCGGTATTTTACTTCTCTATTGGCTGGTACAGTGGTGGTTGTGAAGGTGCATTTGTTTCGGTTTCTTGTTGTACCGGTATTTTACTTCTCTATTGGCTGGTACAGTGGTGGTTGTGATGGTGCGTTTGTTTCGGTTTCTTGTTGTACCGGTATTTTACTTCTCTATTGGCTGGTACAGTGGTGGTTGTGATGGTGCGTTTGTTTCGGTTTCTTGTTGTACCGGTATTTTACTTCTCTATTGGCTGGTACAGTGGTGGTTGTGATGGTGCGTTTGTTTCGGTTTCTTGTTGTACCGGTATTTTACTTCTCTATTGGCTGGTACAGTGGTGGTTGTGATGGTGCGTTTGTTTCGGTTTCTTGTTGTACCGGTATTTTACTTCTCTATTGGCTGGTACAGTGGTGGTTGTGATGGTGCGTTTGTTTCGGTTTCTTGTTGTACCGGTATTTTACTTCTCTATTGGCTGGTACAGTGGTGGTTGTGATGGTGCGTTTGTTTCGGTTTCTTGTTGTACCGGTATTTTACTTCTCTATTGGCTGGTACAGTGGTGGTTGTGATGGTGCGTTTGTTTCGGTTTCTTGTTGTACCGGTATTTTACTTCTCTATTGGCTGGTACAGTGGTGGTTGTGATGGTGCGTTTGTTTCGGTTTCTTGTTGTACCGGTATTTTACTTCTCTATTGGCTGGTACAGTGGTGGTTGTGATGGTGCGTTTGTTTCGGTTTCTTGTTGTACCGGTATTTTACTTCTCTATTGGCTGGTACAGTGGTGGTTGTGATGGTGCGTTTGTTTCGGTTTCTTGTTGTACCGGTATTTTACTTCTCTATTGGCTGGTACAGTGGTGGTTGTGAAGGTGCATTTGTTTCGGTTTCTTGTTGTACCGGTATTTTACTTCTCTATTGGCTGGTACAGTGGTGGTTGTGATGGTGCGTTTGTTTCGGTTTCTTGTTGTACCGGTATTTTACTTCTCTATTGGTCTGGTGGTTCAGTGGTGGTTTGTAGTATGGTGCGTTTGTTTCGGTTTCTTGTTGTACCGGTATTTTACTTCTCTATTGGCTGGTACAGTGGTTGGTTGTGATGGTGCGTTTGTTTCGGTTTCTTGTTGTACCGGTATTTTACTTCTCTATTGGCTGGTACAGTGGTGGTTGTGATGGTGCGTTTGTTTCGGTTTCTTGTTGTACCGGTATTTTACTTCTCTATTGGCTGGTACAGTGGTGGTTGTGATGGTGCGTTTGTTTCGGTTTCTTGTTGTACCGGTATTTTACTTCTCTATTGGCTGGTACAGTGGTGGTTGTGATGGTGCTCGTTTGTTTCGGTTTCTTGTTGTACCGGTATTTTACTTCTCTATTGGCTGGTACAGTGGTGGTTTGATGGTGCGTTTGTTTCGGTTTCTTGTTGTACCGGATTTTTTTAAACTATATTGTTTATTACTCAGTAATTGTGTGTACTAATGACGTAGGTTGACTTGGAATGCGTGTTATCGGTATCGTGTTAAAACCGTATATTTACTCGATTGTAAGAAATATGGGTAGTAGTGTTGCTGTAAGATCAGAAATGTATTGACACATTTGTAATGTTACCTAAATTCTATAAAAAAATTCGTAAACTGATGTAGTTAATTACTGTTATGTTTATGGCTACACAGAACTGTTAAAGTCGCTAACCTGCGTGTTAAGAAATGTTTCGCAACATTATAATTAATATAAAATAAACTCTCAAATTTCTAATAATGTAATTCAACAATATTTCAGTTAAAACGTTTGTATATTAGTGTATCCTAGTATTTTACTGTAAAAATAAACTTTAAATGCACGTAAGTAACTTGTTGTTAAGGAACGACTAATACTCTAACAAAGATCCATTGAATTCAAGATATCTCTCTAAGTGTAAGTTTTTTACATTGGTAAATTGTATGATCTATAAATATTATAAAAATAAATTTTAAAGCTACGTAGTTAATTGGTCATGTTAGATCTGACAAACAACAAATATGTTTCGTTAGACCCATATGTAGGTGTTTTGCTATCATTTGTAATATTACATAATATATATTTTAGCAGTTTTATTATAGTAAATCTTTGTTTTTTTCAATGATTTCCGGCAACTTGTACTTTTCCAAAGTGATTTCTTCAGTCTTGTTAAAGTACAAAAATATGTTTAGAGTGTACAGGTTTTGTGTCACTAATGGTAAACATTGGTTGATCTATAAAATTAGTGAAAAAGAAAATACGAAAACTACGAAATACTTCTTTAAAAAATGCCTTTATCGCAAGTATTTCAACGAATCGGATCCTTAATGAAATAAAAGTAGGAGGTGTTATTCGTAATGGATTTTTTTAAGTCAAAGGACTCAAAATAATTCACTTGCGCAAATTGTATGCGCGAAGATTTTCTGTTTGGTCCTTACATATAAATATTTCAAATTTCGTATTTGCACATCGTTCAAAAATTGGGCAAACAATTTTCTTATTACTAACATGATAATTATGTTTTATAGGCCTAAGGTAGTTTATTTTGTATATGTATTTACCGAATATTTATACACGCAATAATACAATTAAAAATTCCAAATACGTCAGAATATTTCATTGTTACCTGAGTCAATGCGAAAAATGTGGTTTTAATGTTCCGTAAGTACCGGGCTTCAAATATGCGTGTATTTTATTTGTTATTAAATCAGTATAATTAAATAGCTGCTTAAAAAAACACGTGTTATTTGAACACTTCATGTGCCTTATTTCTTCAGGTGTCACTGATTCTAAGCAACTTGAGTTAATTGTAAAGCGATTTTTTTTCGGGTTTCGGTGGCTAAAGTAATTGAATGTTCCTACTTCGTTATACGCAATGCTACGAGACATAAACCACTTTGAACAAGTTCTCTTATAGAAATATAATCATGTTATTATGCGCGAAGTGCACTGAGATTGATTAGTAACAGCAGTTTAGAAAATCAAGGGAATGTAGTATAGAATTTTTACAAGCGCTTATTTTCACTCACACATACACACGCACTCTCTCTCTCTCTCTCTCTCTCTCTCTCGCATACACACACACACACACACACACACACACACACACACACACACACACACATATATATATATATATATATATATATATATATATATATATATATATATATATATAAGTCCGAGTTATGAAGCAAGTTGCCCCTTTAGCTCAGCTGGTTAGAGCGTCTTGCTAATATCGCGAAGGTCGTGGGTTCGATTCCCCCCACGGGCCAATTCTTTATTTAGCTCTCACTCAATGTTATTGCTTTAATTGGTTATAAGAAATTCATTCCTTAAAATTTGCTCATCTTGACTACGGTTTGTACCTTTGTAATTACAAATTACTTTTATCTATTGGACAATTGTTTATGTATCATGGTTTACATCATGACATTGCATTTAGAGTTTTCATTAGGTGTTGTCTGTCAGTTTAGTGTTTATAACCTCTGTCCATATCGAACGTAGGGGCAAAAATATTAGAACCATCACTCTCCTCTTGCTGTCATGTGAAGTATGATTAACGAATCCAACCTGTGAAGCAGGAATATCAACGTTAGAAAGATTTTAACAATGAGACATGGTTATTAATGCTTTTCGATAAACTGTTTCTTTTGACTAATTAAATACTGTGGTGTGGGAAGCCTCGCAGATGATTGTTTACATCCAGGAATTGGAATGGGTCTCTACTACCAGCTAGAGAAAATTGAGGGAAGGAATAACAAAAGAAAACCATTATCATAACAATAGAGAAAATAACAAAAATAACAGTATTTTGAATATCATTATATAAATACCAGAAAGGGTTAAGGTCGTTCATAGTGAGGCGAACTCTTATTGTGTCTCAACACTTGTTTAATCAATTTAGATTTACCTCATAGAATGCTTGTGTACTAACCAAAGCCACGAGAAACCAGCCCTCTGTTTTTTATCGCAAACAATTTAGTGTCCAGTGACTGGTGAAGTATGCAAGAGTACTTAAGTTTTAATTGAAGAAGTCCACAACAAATGAAACATGCATAGGGTAGATGTAAACCATGTGTAGAATTTTGGCAAAAATGTAGTTATTATGAGTTAGAAATGTTATGGTATTTTACAAAACGCTGCCTATTAGTGAAACTTGACTTAAATGCCCTATCCATCGTACTTTATACCTTCAACACAAAAAAAAATTAAAATGTTTACTCGATTGTAAAAAAAAAAAAAAAACTTTTATTTATAAATGCATTGATAAGAGAAAAATAATTATAGTAGTTACACAATTTGTGAAACTTGTAAGATGTGGTCGAACAGCCGTACTAAACTTTACTACAGTTTAATATGTTTGTATCAATTTATATTTAGTATATTTAAGCTTGGCGCGAATAGTCAAGAGCCTTACGCAAGATATGTGCTTACTACGTTTACGCAAATGAGGTATACGTTCTATATTGCGCCAAGCCTTTATATACTAAACATAAATTGATACAAACATGTTAATTTGCAGTAAAGTTTATTACGGCTGTTCGACCACATCATTTTCACTTTTTAGTTTCACCAATTTTTTTTTAAGTTATAATGAATCAAAGTGTAATAATTAGACACTGATTTCGCAACTACACTTGATATCACTACGAGCCCTTTCAACGGAGAAAAAACGTTTTCTAGACAACCTTGTGAGGAGACGATCCTGGCTGCAGCACCAGGTCGCTGCCACCATATTATTATTGCATTGTCATCGGGTTTCTATATGTATACCAAGTTTCAGCTCGATTGAATACCTAGAAGTGGGTCAACTACAGATTCTGCGAGAATTAATTTTTTGTACCCAAACAAGAGCCGATATTGTAAAATACTCTTACAAGTTCTTTACAGATTGATTTTGTTATGTAGTCTACATTATCCAACACAAAGAAGTGTATACTTTTATCCAATAAATTAACTACCGAAAATTTTGTTTATTTAAGAATTACTTATAATTATTAAGTTTTTTGTGTTAAAAAAATTTTTCTACATAATAAAAAAATTTGTAACAAAATTGTAAGAGGATTTTACAATATCGGCTCCCATTTCTCTCAAAAGCCTTAAATAAAAGCTTGTAAAAATACGAACCAACAATTCACAGAACTATCTGTTTTCATGTCAGTGTCTTTTAGTACTGAAATGATTTCATCAGTCTGAACAAACTTTCTTGTCTTAATCGCTGTGTATATGTTTCATGTCATGAGTTATTTTTCACATATATTTATTTAAAAATGCCTATTATCTGGTTGATGAAAACTAGCGTCACCACCAAGTCCTGAAGCATACTATTTCGTATAAACTGAAGCTCTTTCTCATGCAGAAAATAGTCTGTTAGAGACAAGGTAAACATTTTGATTTTCGGTAAAACGTCGTTTTGCAAAAAGTTTTTTTTGTAGTATCCATTTTACCTATGTTAATCAAATTTTTATTCAAACATTTCATTAATTTGTATATATTTATAAGCCTTGCGTATGTGGTCCACAATGCGATGCTGCAGGGACAAAAACAATTTCCTTTTGAAAAAAAAATATATTCTTAGACAATACACTCGAATGAGCGCATAACAATTTTGTACAGAATTTTTCATTATATTTGACACGATGTAAGTAAAGTTTTGGTAAATCACAATTAAATATATGTTATGCTGCGTAGTTGGCAACATGCGTAGTAGTCAGTGTGACCAGCACATTAGACTCTGAATACAACCCGGGAGTGTCAACTCTTCCTCCATCATTATCCATGTTGTAGCCGCCTGCCCTCACCGCTGTATCTCCTGGGGAAGAAGCGAGAGGTTGAAGTGGGAGGGGGAGGAGGGGGGCTCGTTTACATGCGAACCGCCCGCCAACTAGGAATTTGCAAAGAACGGACGTGTTGCATCCTCAAGGGACTCCGCAGTGTAGTTAACTCAGCATCAGAGAACAGCAGAGAGTGAACTCTTACCGACTTCCCAGTAAGGTGAAGGTTTCTTCTCCTCAGGTTGGGAAGATCAATGTTGAAAGTTTGGCGACTAAACGTTCTCGTCAGTAGGTAAGCGCTAGTGTCGCATGTGTACCAGATTTTTCTCTATTTTATACGTTAAAACAGGATAGCTGCCGTTCACATAAATCAAATCAAAACTAATAAATCAAGTAGACGTGTCTGTATGTATGTAATTTTAAAATATATTACAATATCTAAGCGAAATATACTATTTAAACGACGTTGAAACATAAATAACTGTTTTTAGAATTTGTGCCTGTCTGGATGTTTGTCTAGAATTGGCTCCGAAACGGCTAAATCGATTCAGATGAAACATTCTGGTATCATAGAGGATATTTCTATTTAAAATCTGCTCTTTTTTCCACTTCGATATCTCAAATGGTTCCGAAGTCATTTAGTTTTTTTAATTTATTATTTTTTATTTCCTTAATTTTTCTCCCACAAAAGGCAACAACTAGTATAAAATAATCATAACTAAGTAAAATCTTTATCTTTTATCATTCACGCAGATAAAAGTTTTATTCGAAAGTGTACTCTTTTTGTAACACTGTATTTTCCCAAACCCACCCATAAAAAAAAAGCTGGTTTTGTTCCAAACCTGAGTAGAACTAACCTCAGTAAGGCAGAAGCTCGGTGTCTTCTCATGGAGCACTGTGCCCTGCAGTTGAACACGCGCATCTCATTACAAAACAGTGCAAGCATTACCATCTTCTCATGGAGCACTGTGCCCTGCAGTTGAACACGCGCATCTCATTACAAAACAGTGCAAACATTACCATCTTCTCATGGAGCACTGTGTCCTGCAGTTGAACACGCGCATCTCATTACAAAACAGTGCAAACATTACCATCTTCTCATGGAGCACTGTGCCCTGCAGTTGAACACGCGCATCTCATTACAAAACAGTGCAAACATTACCATCTTCTCATGGAGCACTGTGTCCTGCAGTTGAACACGCGCATCTCATTACAAAACAGTGCAAACATTACCATCTTCTCATGGAGCACTGTGTCCTGCAGTTGAACACGCGCATCTCATTACAAAACAGTGCAAACATTGCCATCTTCTCTTGGAGCACTGTGCCCTGCAGTTGAACACGCGCATCTCATTACAAAACAGTGCAAACATTACCATCTTCTCTTGGAGCACTGTGCCCTGCAGTTGAACACGCGCATCTCATTACAAAACAGTGCAAACATTACCATCTTCTCATGGAGCACTGTGCCCTGCAGTTGAACACGCGCATCTCATTACAAAACAGTGCAAACATTACCATCTTCTCATGGAGCACTGTGTCCTGCAGTTGAACACGCGCATCTCATTACAAAACAGTGCAAACATTACCATCTTCTCATGGAGCACTGTGCCCTGCAGTTGAACACGCGCATCTCATTACAAAACAGTGCAAACATTACCATCTTCTCTTGGAGCACTGTGCCCTGCAGTTGAACACGCGCATCTCATTACAAAACAGTGCAAACATTACCATCTTCTCATGGAGCACTGTGTCCTGCAGTTGAACACCCGCATCTCATTACAAAACAGTGCAAACATTGCCATCTTCTCATGGAGCACTGTGCCCTGCAGTTGAACACGCGCATCTCATTACAAAACAGTGCAAACATTACCATCTTCTCATGGAGTACTGTGCCCTGGAGTTGAACACGCGCATCTCATTACAAAACAGTGCAAACATTACCAATATTGTTAGAAAAGTACGATTTAAGTTGCGCGTGAAAGATGGTGTTTATTTGAAAGGTTATGAAAAACTCAATCTTTAAGAGTCTATTTTTTGTCGTTATTTAAGCGTTCTTCCTTCCTGAATGTTTCTGAAAGAAAATTTTGCAAAATAAAAACCCTTCGTCAAGTGTGACTATCATAGTCATTATTCAGGTTGTATGTAACAAACAACTACGGATAAAATTTACAAAAAAATATTAATTTCTATTTTACGTTACGTCCATTTCAGTTATAAAAATATAAATTTCAATGGTTAAAACTAATGTTATTTATATTTTTCGATAAATGTGCTTTCTAAAGCATCTGGAATGGACACACGCTAACAATTTTGTAATTCAATTCAACCAATTTTGAAATAAATCATAATTTTTTGACAATTTTAGTACTATGTGTGCTGTGGTAGTTTTTAACCCTTTCAGGCCTACTTTCATTGACGCTTTTGGGTGCTGAAAATAAACAAATGTTATGATGCGTGCTCTATTTATGTCGACACCACATTTGTTTCGCTGTCTC